CAGACAGACAGACAGACAGACAGACAGAGTTACTTTCGCATTTATAATATTAGTATGGATACTTTTTCGTATCCATCCATTGATTACAGCATATAAAAGTCCACTGCTGAAATAAGACCTCCATCATTGATTGTCTCATAGTGTGGCTTTTGCCAGAGTTGCCACGCACGCGAGGCGGGTTGGCAAACAATTTTTTTTTTGAAATTTGAGTTGTTGGTAGCTGTCAGAATAGGCGATATGTGTACTGTAATGTGGTGTAGTAGTGTATAGTGGACACTACTACAATACATGTAGTGTCTACTATAACTATTAAGCTACAGTTTGACTTAAAGTTCTAAAATAAAAGCAATTTTTATGGCGACTTTAGGAAAAACCTCACACTCTCTGATTTGTTTTAAAATACTTTTCGTATATCCATCCATCTATCCATCCAATTCAGGCTATAAAAGTCTACTGCTGAACATAGACCTCCCCCATAGATTGCCCCATAATGGGAATTTTAAGCGGGTAACTGTAACTGTAAACTGTAAAGCGGGTTGGCAACGACATTTTTTTATAATTTTAGTTGTCAGAAAGGTGCTACTGCACATCGAATATAGCTTCTTGCTGTCGGGATAATGGATATTATTATACCGCAACTACATGGATAATGTATAATATAGTCGTCACTGTACGGTTTTGTTCAGACAAATGTAAATGAACTAGAAATGAAAATTATTTGTTTCCTTGAATCCTGGTTATACAAAGTTAACAATATTGGTATGTCCTCACGTGGTGGGATCAAATTTAAATGCGGGATCCGAAACAACATGCTTTGTAGGATCTGCGGCTCGAAATAAAGCACCGGAAATGGTATGCAGGGGTGACCGGGAAAATCTGGTACATGCGGTTAGATCCACGCGCGGGTTGTTAGATAATTGCCTACGATAGCTCAGGCCTCAGTAGATGATGATTCAAGTTAAGTAGATACATAAACGAAGGAACAGCGGGTAATTGTTCTCTTAATTGTAGTCTTAAGACCCTATATGCTCACCTGCAATATTCAGATTACTTCAACAGCTGCGATCCGGATCTTCTTCAGCACGATCGGCTGACTAATGTGAATAGTTCTGGCGGTATCACAGTCTTATGCTCGCCACACACGGTCAGTTCAACTGATCATTCCAACTGATCAGTTCAAACTAAAACTGTTGATATTTTTTAAAATATTGGATTTACGATATATCGATAAATAAACTTATATATAAAACTGAGATATTGATATATTTATAATTATCAATATATCGACAATTCGATATTTTAAAATATATCAACAGTTTTAGTTTGAACTGATCAGTTAGAATGATCAGTTGAACTGACCGTGTGTGGCGTCAACTACTCAGTTCTGTATGTTTGCAGAGCCGCGACACGTGCACGGCGCTTGCCTCTAGCGACAGCTTAGCGAAGAAGAACACGTAACGAATGCATGAACGACACCCAGTGAAGTATAATTTTTATGGTTGCAGCACGTATGGATCGGCTGGACCAGGGAAGGACCACAGAATACCAGCGTTAAATAGCAGTTTAATGTTAATGTGTTTCATATTATGAGTGAGGGTAGAGAACTGGAGACTTTTTTTAATGGTGGATAGCAATTCTATATCAGCATTCAGAGATAACATTGCATCTAGGTACGTTTTAATGCTTTATCGAGGACAGATTTAGGTGTCTATGGGCTAAAACATCCACTTAACGTCAGGTGGCCCGTGTGTTGTGTTGTGTATCTCACCCTTATTGTATAAAGAATAATCGAGATAATATTATTATACCTGAAATAAAAGAAAAAATAACATAACATAAACACTCACGCCTGTCACCCAGAGGGGTAGGCAGAGACTACAGACTTCCATTTGGCACGATCCTGACACACCTCTCTTGCCTCCTTCACATCCATACACCTACGCATACATGCTCGTCGGTTAAGGGTACTCCTAATTTTGCCCGTTTTCAATAAATCGCCAATTTGGTCGATAAATTTTCGCCTAGGATGTCCCTTTCCGACTCTGCCATTCACTTCTGCACCATAAATTTTCTTTGTCACTATTTCCTCATTCATTCTTGAAGAGTGTGGTTTGCAAGATGATGTTGTGACCAGGATTAAGAAAGGAATGCTTCGGTGGTTTGGTCATGTGGAAAGAAAAAATCTATCTAATCAAAAAAAAATCTAATCGAGATAATATTATTATACCTGAAATAAAAGAAAAAATCTCGTCTTATTAGATCCGCGAAAATGGGTGATGAACAAGACAGTGTGATGAAACAGTTTCAGTAGGCGTACCTAAAAACGGAAGTATGCCAATCGACAATCCTCTTCATTCTTTTATTGAGCGTTAGTTGCACTGTGATTCGCTGAACGTTGCATGGAGAAAGCTTTGATACTGATTCGTCAAGCCCATCAAATAAAACTTCGAAGTCCAAGAAAATCAACTTCATCAAATAGTAGTAATGAAGCAGTGTGTGAAATAGCACGTATATGTAAACTGGAAAAAAGTTACTGGCTCAGGTATTAGAGTTCCATTTCCATTTAAAATTAAAAAAAAGTAACTATCAATATTTTATGACTCAGAATAATTTTTTTTATCTAATAATTATTTATTACTAACATATTAGATCCGACCTATTGCGATTGACAAAGTTATGTCGAAAAAACCAATTAACTTTGACGGAAAGCGTTATAAACGCATAAAATTTCGAGAAGAAGAAATAATATGAAATGTAATATAGAGTGTAGGTTTTTAAATTTCCAGAGTACGAAAAATCTTTACCTAACACTTTATTTTAAATATGGCTGGCCTTTACTGTGTCCAGTACTGTGAGGCACTCAGTGACGTAGCATGAGTTTTTTATGCGGGTCCAGTGACAACTGCGAATACTGCGACCAGAATAGTTTATTGTGATCGCTGATATGACGATTTTTTTCAAATCTTAAACAAATTTTCAATGTCCGCTAACAGACTTAAATTACTAAAAAATGGACGAAGTCACGCGCCAATAGAATGAAAAAAATCATGCAATTTTATTTCGTGGGCGCGTAAGTGTCTGTCACCGTTATGTTTTGTTTTGACGGGTAAGAGAGGAGGTATATAGAAAACATATATTATAACGGCGAGTTTTTTTATCTTGACTGATTACAGATGCGGTATCACTTGAAACGCATAATCATCATGGGCTGCAGTATCTACATGCGATCAGGTGGGTCGTACGTTCAGATGAATTCTTTTCTTAATGGTCATGTTATCTACCTTAGCTTTAGGGTGGTTTTATCTACTTTTCAAATTTAAGTTCAGGGTATAACGATCGGCAATCCACCAAGACGAATTTCCTCAATGCACGCAAGGTCTTTGCCCTGTCGTTTTATAAATGATATTATGTGAATATAGTGGCTCATAGAGTACAATAACTATATTTTATCCTCGACCAACAATCAAAATGCGATGCGTTATCACCCCTAAGGACTAAAATGGAATGACGTTACCAGTAAAGGGTAGTGCTGATTTTCACAGTGAGTAAAGTCATAATTCTGTATCCACATTCATATATGTTATTATCATATATAGTATATTTCACCATATCCATAGTGATAATTTTAGTTTTACCTTCTACTTTTACGTTTTTACTTCATTTACTCTCAAACCCACGGGATAACATAAGTAGTGAATTTTCTTACAAAGACACTATACGTCTCATATATTGCGACTGCCGATTACCACACAGGCCAAGATTGAAAGAAGGACTCTCGCCTTTCAATCCTGGCTCGTGTCGTGACGAACGCTGATCCATTTGCCAATCGTGGTGAAGAATCACTGCTAGAATAGCAATGGGTTTTTATGAGATAACGATGAAGAAGAATGATAAAACATCTTAAAAACTTACCGCAGAAGGATTGAACGAAATTTAAGGAAATGACAGCTTCCAAGACCATAAACATTTCGTAATTAGGCGATCTGTATGGATCATCTTTCGGGAGCCATATAGGGAACGGCAAAGGGCGAGAAGTGTTTTCATTTATTGTAGCAAACAGGCTTTGATATGTAAGCTCTACTATACATGTCACCAGAAACATACTAGGTACGATGGTTATAAAGATAAACCAAACGTAACATAATTGCCAAATCAATAACTGACCGTGAATAAATAGTTTCCTGAAAAAAAAATGGCGAGTTTTTACTAATGTGACTTTTAAAGTTTTATTGCTAGAAGTCCTGGTAAAAAAATCATTCAATCTGTACGGGTAGCCTTCTTTATCGATAAATCAGCACTTTAGTAGTAAAATACTAATACTTATTTATTAGCACATACTCGTCCTCGATTTCAAAATGTTAGTAAAAAAGTGAATTAAAGCGATAAAGGAGACAATTTTTTTTGTATGTAGAATGGGCCCACCACAAATTTTTTTTGAGCATTCTTTGGAGGAGGCAGTGTTGCACGCCATAATTAATGCCACTAGCTCCATCTAGTATCGAGTAGTAGAACTAAGAGAGCTTTCTATAAAATTCCATACTTTTTATACAAATTACATAACTTTCTACACCTAGTCGGTCAGGACCGGTATGTACTCGAACACTCTAGATGTTTCAGTAGAAAAGGTCCTATATAAGAATGGTATTGACCATGACCCCAGTATTGAATTGGCAATTCAAGCGGATACTTCGAAGCGATATTACTGCGAACTAAATGATCATTGTGATTAATTATTAGTGTATTTTAAGTTGGAATTTGTGTTCGGTAATTAAAGTATCCATTTTGGTTATTCCATCGGCAGTATTTACTGTCACGAACCCTAAGCTCGTAACACTAGTAACAAATACATTTCTTCAGAAGAAAAAATAACGATCACACTAAGGTAAGAATACTATTTATTAGCTAATTTAATTATAGGAATAGAAGTACTTAGGTATAACAATTATAGTATTAGATTTGTGTAGAAGTGATTGTACATCTGGCAAATAAAAATCAACCAATTACTTGAAAAAAATGTTTTGTGTGTCTAGTGTATCGTCTGTAACAGAGTCTATGTCGGAGTAATAAGAAAGTGCAGAAGCAGATTGACCGTCGTAATTGGACGAGGTAATAGGTGTTGGCACGTGGGTAGTCAATGTCAAGGTAATATTTTCAGTAGGCGATGATGTTGGCCTAATAGAAGTGGAATACGAAGCAAATTCATGGTCGGAATTGAACGAAGCAATATGTGTTGGCACGTAGATGGTCAATGTCGAGATAATATTCCCAGTAGGCAATGTTGTTGGCCCAACAGAAGTGGAATATGAAGCAGATTTGAACGAGGCAATAGGTGTTGGTCCATAAGGCAATGTTGTTGGCGGAATAGGAGATAAATATATAGAAGTTGTTATTGGTGTTGATGTGCTAGTATGCGTCGACGTCAAAGCAGTAGTATTATACTCATATGACGCTATTGTCGGCGTTTTTATTGCCGTAGATGTGTATGAACTTGTCGAAACATCGAGTGATTCACACATATTATTTGTGATTGTGAACATAATTTAAATTTTAGTACGAATTTTTATCAACAGTGTCATTTTTTAAGTGTTGGGACTAAGGACAATAAAAATAAGATGTCTTTGTCTTGTAATACTCTTTCATCTAAAGAATTCCTTGTCCTTAGGATTTTCAACAGCTCTTGTTCGCACTCGTCAATATTTTTACGTTTGGATTGATTCCTACGCTGTTTAGGTTCTACGATTCTTTCTAGTTCTGCAGAATTTTATGAAAATACCCAGTTCCCTTTATGCGTCGTGGCAGTAGACGGTAAACACATGCATCTTGTAAATCTTAAAAATTGTGGTTCATTATTTTATTATTATAAACATTACTTTTCTATTGTATTATTAACAATTTCCGACGCAAACTACTTATATACTTCTATTGACGTCGGAGCATATGGCAGAGAAGGTGATAGCAAAATTTTGTGTCGGAGTAACATTGGAAATAAAATTAAAAAATAATACATTAAATATTCCGATGGATCTAACCCTCCTCAACGATAAAATCAAGTGTCATTTGCCTTACGTAATTGTGGGTGAAGAAGCTTTTGGACTACAGAGACATATGAGACCTTATCCCGGAAAGAAATTGAGTTATGCACAAAGAGTATTTAACTACCGCCTTTGTAGAGCGTTGCGATATAAAGAATGTTCATTTGCAATACTAGCCAATAAATGGAGAATTTTTCATATGCCAATGATGGTTGGGCCAGAATCAGCTATTCTTATCACAAAAACTGCATAGTGCTTCATAACTATGTTAGAAGACGTGATGGATTTAGCTTTTCAGATACTCTTACTAATGTGATTCCTTGTGCAGACAGAGTGAGTTTAAGTACGACTCAGGCAGCACGGGAGGCACGAGATAAATTTGCTAATTACTTTTTGCCACTGAGGGTCAGTTGGCATGGCAAGATAAATATATTTAAGTACAAATTAAGTATTCGAATTATAAAGTATATAATATCTTACTTTTGATTTTTTTTGTAGTTCATTTAATGACGACTAATTTGGTGTCATTGACTAAGCTATTTCGCTTCAGTCATTCGATTTTTTTACTCTGTTTTTATAATCAGGACTTCTAACATCCCAAATGTAAGGCTTTTCCTCTATTTATTGAATAAATAATTCTGCATCGAACATTATGTAAATTTGGTCACTTTAGGCTTGAATTATATGCGTCCGCGCGACTAAGCGGCTCAGCCACTACACCGCGAAATCACATGAAACTCTAGGGTAGGCAACGAATTATTTGAATTGCGACGCGACCGCTTGCTAGCCTTGTTCGGAGCGGCGCGGGCGCGCGGCTCGGACGCTCTAACAAGATTCAACGACCAACGTGTTTAGTTGTGTCGATGCATTTATACCGGACGGAGCGTTCTATTGTAAATAATCTAAGCACTTATATAATACAGCATTGTTGCCACATAACATTTCCCTGACGCAGTCAGTAATAAACGCCCGCGACGCAACATAATCTATTCGTAACATTCCGTATTTTATATCTTTTGAGTCGATGATCCAAATGAAACATATCAGTATTTGGAACATTTCAGTGATCGAGATGCGAATGTTCTAATCGCAAAAATGATACACTTTGCCATAGAATAAATAATAGTACTACGTACAGAAGTTGCACTTCTTTGATGTCAACTGCTTGCCGACGTTTAATAGCCCACGTAATTATTATTAATCAGATAAATCGCGCACGCAAGCTAAATAAAACTTTATCGCTGCGCGTTAGTGTCCACATTACTTTGCATCTTTACCGCTTCCTAAATCACGGCGGACTTTCCGTGGTTATTAAGGGATGTCAATAGAAAGTATAAAAAATACATTGCGAAATGTTAATTATGTTACATAGATGAAGTACTTTTTCTGACTATGATCGACTGACCATACTTTCGCCCCTATGTGAGTTCTGCGATGCCTAAAGCATGCAAATTGCAAGGTAATTCGTCGGGAATCGCAACGCTTGGTTCGGAAGAAATAGGTAGATTGTGTAAACAACAAATAAACCTGAAATCATTCACATTTTTACGTATAAATACGATTCCTAACAGAAATGTGATCTATTCTACTTACATAAAAATCTTCTTAGTATACAAAGTTTTAATTTCAGTATTTTGTGTTATTATAACTTAAAATATTTTAATTACAAAAGACAAGTATAGGTATGTATGTAAGTTTGGATAGTGAAGTAAATTTTACCTAATTTTTGTAATAAAGTACTTAGGTATTTCTTCTGTAGACCAAAATATTACTTAATTCTTTTTTGCTGTAAGTACCCATCTAACAAAAAAAAAATTAAATAAATTCACCTTTCATAATTTCCTTCTAAAATTCTTCGGTAACTTAAAAAATGATATGAAACCTTTTGTTGGTCATTTCATTTAGTATCCATCCACGCAACAGTTATAGTAGGAGCGACGTTTTGCTATTATAATTGATCAAATAGGTAATATACATAATATATAATTTTTAAAATACATTAAAACTTTTACAACTATTTTACCTACAATTAAATATACTAAACACTAAACAAAAACTATTTCAACTAGTATTTACATAAAACTATTTACGTAAACAACGTTAAAAAACTTTAACATTGAATCGCCTACATCGCGCTAGCCCCGACTGCGTATAACACAAATTTACTCACACGATAAAAAAAACCCGCACAAATGCCCTTCTGCAATAAAACCTGCCAAAGTTTGCTCCTCAAACACAATTTACGCAGCAGCTAACTAACTAACGCAATAACATATCTTTCTTACCCTATTACTCTAACGAATTACTCTATTAGGTTCTCTATCACACGCAGAATGCAACATTGCCGTTTTGTGTTCGAGTACCTATTCGTCAATGTTGGCTCCGGATCCACTTAGTCTAAGTAAATGTCGCATATAAGTTAGTTATTCTGGATCTAAGAAATCATATTCAGTATGATTTTTTCGACCGTTGATGAATCAACAAATGTTGGTCAAATCGCTGAGGAGTATCTTGAAAACCTGTAAGTGCAGATCCATCGTCGCCACACGCGCATCAAGAAGGGATCAAAGTATATCAGTTTGCGCGGCGAGGAGCTGAGCAAAAACATAAAATAGGTGGACCAACAAAATTGTTCTAACTTCTTACTGGATCAACATGCACCGTTAAAGGTTGATTATATATATTACAATATGGGGCACTGACTTGCCCCATGACAACATGTATTTATATCATCAGTAGGACAATTTGAAGCGAATCGCATAAAGAATTGTGGTGGAATAGTTTTGAGGTGTCTGTTTGGACCTTTAAACTATACATAAAACACTCGTTTAAAGTTTTATTTGAGGATTCAGTGCCAAATCAGCAAGGTCAATAAGAGTTGAACTTTATGCAGATGCAAATGTGTAGGTTCATTAGTGTGGTTCATAAGACTCAGGCATTATAAAAATTGATTTAAATACGAGGTGTTAGTGTTGCTCTCACTCTAATTCAATATGAATATGAAATCACCCACATATTGAATTCACCAAATATAATAAGATGATTACGTAGGGCAACAGGGGTCATCGGATGTGGGGGTCACGTGATGCTGTACGAATCATTACATTCGACGATAAACGCAATCGTTGCGTGAGTACGTCGAAAAATCAAAAAGAGCGCCAAAAAGTCAAAAACTGTAACAGCATAGAACACATAATTAATTAATAATAAAGTAGGTACTTATTTTATTATTATCAGTTTTTCATATAAAGCAAAGATTTTGTTAATATATTTGAGTATCGGAAATCTAACAAATGTTTACAGTGAATCATTATCACTTTTAAACATACATTTAATATCGTCTTTACACAGCATTCAATAAGTAGCATAAATACGGCCTTGCTTGGTCTAGAAAAATTTGCACCAATGGAAAATGGGTGCCGTCAGCCACTTCCGTTGCATATGGACATGTGACAATATGCAATTTATATGGAAATAATTATCTCATTACAGTTATTAAACCAAAATCGTATCTATTTTGAAGTCATTTGTATGTCTTCATGGTCGTTTAAACACTTAATTTTAATTAAAAAAAAACTTACTTATATTTTTGATCTAATCTACAAATATATTTGAAGTCGTCGTTCATTCGCCCCAAAAGATTTATGATTTTTGCTTTGTTTGCAAGTACACTTAGGTTTACAACTGGAATCGTGCTAAGTATAATACAAAAGCAAAAGCCTTCAGTGGCAAATGCGTAGTCCATTTCAGACAATCCGTGATACACAACCATTGCTTCCAGGACTATGCCCACCATCGCAAAGGATGTGCACACTATGGGCAATATAAACCTATAACATTTGAAAAAAATTAAAAATGAGTACGAAAAGAAAATTAAAAATTAATAATCGAGGTATTTGCAAAACATTACCTGAACTTTGACACGGTATTATTAATGCCGCTGGTAAAAAGAACAATTTTCAATTGTGGGTGAAATTTATCGAGATTCAAATACGGGTTATCGAAATCGAAATCTCGACGGCTGAAAATATCTTTTAAATATTGCAGTGAACACATTTTCTGTCATTCAGTTACGATGCTGGGAGAAAACTAATTCAGGAAATTATTCCCGACTTTTCGTTAGTAAAATAATAAACTGCTATTACGTACTTCAAAACGAACCCATAATGATCATTAGGGTAATTCGTAGTTGCATCGGTACTGCATCAATTATTCTGTTCTAATGCGTCTTAATAGCCTATGAAAAGTATAATGACATATGATTTCAGTAATAACTATAGCTAATCAGTTCATCAAAAAAAGTTAAAACTATGTACTAAAATAATTAATTACCTTTCCAATAGTAAGTAGAAATGGGTCCTATTTTGAAGTTTAAGTTTATGTTTTACGGTCCTATTTTGAAGTTTAAGTTTATGTTTTACGGTCCAAAAAAATTGGAAATCGCGTGCGTGCGTGTGCGTGAGAAGTGTGTATGTGCGTGGGTAGTGCTATATATTGCCTCATAGGGGAGATATATGCCATAGTTACCAATCTTGGCAAGCGGGTCGGTAATCGTAGTTTTATTTCTTTTTAGTCGTCGTGAGGAAGACGCTGCTGCTCATCTCCTGATTTGTTTCCCTCAGTCACCTTAACGACACCCTCGTGATGATATTGGGCTAGTGGATATTCTTACACCGTCACACGCGGTAAAGCTTTTACTATCCAAAAATTAAATAACGACTTATTAATAGATTCTACCCAGGCGAAACTAGGGCGTTACACTGGCTTACAAATAAAAATATCTCTCTGTTGAAGATCGTAAAAATTACAAGAGACTTTTTTTGTTATAGGATAGGGTGACAAACGAGCACATAGTCCACCTGATGGTAAGTGGTTGCTGCGGCCCATAGACATCTACATTTATTCTCGATTACAAATCAAAATGCAGATGCGTTGTCACCCGTGAGGACTAATATGGAATGCCTCGTTTTCAGTAAAAAGGGTCTCCGGTTTTCTGCACTCACCATACGAAGCACAGCATTAAGCTACTATTTCACGCTGGTATTCTGTGAGAGCGTGGTCCTTCCCTGGTCGAGCCGACCCATTCGTGCTACAACCATACTACTAAGGGCCTACGCAGACCGGGACGGCATGGCAAGGGATTTTAATTTTTACTAATGGACATTCAACCGTATTGTTACAGAAATACGACATAAATGCTATGCTTTAAAATGGTACCGTGGCATTGAAAGGGATTTTATCGCACGGCATTAAAAAACGCGCCACAGGCTTATGATGGGCGTTGAATCAACGAACGGTTTAAATAGACGGTCTACGTTCAATCGACGCTTCGACGGTCTGCAGTTCATTCGTTAACTACTCGAATTCATAGACGGCTAAACTGAGTGACTGAACTTCACAATATCTTTTTGCCATGGAATCGAGCCCTCATCAGACTTAAATTAATCTTTAAACATCTCCCGTACCGTCATACCATCTAATGCATTGTTCATATTATTATCGTTTTCTAAATTAATGCTAACACTTGCTATATTTTGGCTTTCTGTGCTTGTACCACCTATGATGAAATTGTGTAAGCAAGTACATGCTAAAATTATATTATCAATATATTTTGGTTGAACCTGAATTCGTTTTTGACATAATTCGAAACGTTCTTGAAGTATACCAAATGCATTTTCGACGATACGCCTGGCTCTACTCAAACGATAATAGTATATTTTCATTGCTTCATCTGTCAATCGATCGCCACTAAATGGTCTCATAATGTTTGTGGTTAACGGAAAAGCCTCGTCTGCTACAAAAACATAGGGCAACTCAAGATCTGTCCTCGGTAAACGTTTTTTTGGGGGAATATCGAGGGCATTAGAAGTCAATTTTTTTCCAAATATTGAGTTTTGCATTATACCTCCATCACTATTTCGTCCATATGATCCTACATCTGCAATCACAAATTTATAATTTGCATCCACAACCGCTAGTAGTACGATACTAAAAAACTTTTTATAGTTTATGTAGAGACTTCCACTATTGCGAGGTGCCTTTATCCTGAAATGATTCGTTCCCCATTGATTCGTTCTTTCAAACAATGGCAGCCACAATAAAAAAACTACCAGAAAGAGTGCAGGTCCAAATAAAGAGACAAATATTTAATATGGTAACTTTCGCCGAATGAAACTGACGCCGAATGAACTCCAGCTCCAACGTCTGAAGATGTCTCTAGCAATTTGCAACATCAACGACCATGCCGTACCGCTTCTACTTCAAGATCTGGCTATGGAACCGCGGCAGGCTTGAGTTATGAAGCTGTATCAGGGTCTGGCCATGAAACCACCTCAAGAACTGGCTGTGAAGCAGCTTCGGGGTCTGGCTTTGGAACCGTCTCAGGCTCTGGTTATGAAGCTGCTTCGGGGTCTGTCTATGGAACCGCCTCAGGCTCTGGTTATGAAGCGGTTTCACGGTCTGGTTATGGTACCGCCTCCGGCCCTGGCTATGAAGCTGCTTCAGGGTCTGGTTATGAAACCGCCTCGGGCCCTGGCTATGAAGCTGCTTCAGGGTCTGGCTACAAAACTGCAGTTTCTGATTACGAAAATAATCTAAATACTCTAAATTAAGTAAAAACAAAGTCAGTGCAAAACTTGAAAATCGTTATTATGTGTCTACAATACATGATTGTACTTGGCAAAAAATATTGTTTTTTTAATTTAATAAAAGAAGAAAAAATAAAACTTATACAATCATTTAACTACCCACCTCAAACACAAGGATAATCTTTGATCGGCTTCAATGGATTTGCGAAAATTGGTCCACTGTTTTTCGATATATGGCCGACATATATTCAACAGTGCTTGAAATTTCTCATAATCCATTCTATGATAGTCATAAAATTTTTGCACGTCGTATTTTAAGTCATTAAATAAATTATTGAATTCACCCTTTGATTCCCTTTCTTTCCATAAATTATCAACCCAAAATCTTCTTCTATCCCTATTATTAACCTGTGCACCTTCGTTTTCATCTGCAATAATCGATATAGACACCAAATCCCAATCTACCATTTTAAAACTGAGGCACACCAACACTCGATCAAACGCAACTGAAGACTAAAAGTGTATCAGGCAGCATCAGTCGCTGAGGCGTGCTTTGTCGAGCCGCGGCACGCCATGGCATGCCGTGGCAAAGTGTTGGAATGCCGCGGTATCTAAGCGGCCAGTGTGCGCTGACTCACGGCAAAATCCCTTGCCATGCCGTCCCGGTCTGCGTTGGCCCTAATATAACTGCAGCATTGCTCTACCACGTATTATCTTTGATCGTTTTTAGGACGATAAAAATAGAACAAAGTTATTGGACTTACATGACTTTTTTACCTGACATGATGCTAAACTCCAGAAAAAGTCGGACAATGTCAATCAGAAATCTGCGGTTCAAAATGATTCGTGGTAGGGGCTTAGAGCACAGGATAAATTATAGTACTACGTATTACACCGGCAATACATGTTGGCCAAGCCTCCGCCAACGCGAGCGTAGGCAAATTTAAAACAATAAATAAATAAATTAAAGCATAGATTTAATATTAACTTTCATAGATAAGGGATGGAAGCATAGATTTATTATGGCTGCATTCGGAATCCCGAATCGGAATTCCAAAACGGAATCCCGAAACGAAATTCCATATGCATATGGCGGGCCAACAATAATATGAGTAGCCGTTTATCAACAAAACACTAATACATCTTATATTTTCCAAAAAAATCATTTTATATTGCTACTTTGAAAAAATAAACAGCTTGAAAAAAATTTTACGTGGACGTCCGGGTTTTTTAATAAGCTTTAGAAATGCATTAACTGGTTCCCTATTTATATATGAATAGCCTGTACGTGTAGTTTGATAATAAAATCATTTTCAACTTTATAAGTAGTATTGCTATTAAAAATTGAAAGGCTCTTTCACATTTTTAAGCCCTTGATAGATAAAGTACAAATAAACCATAGAGCCTATATCGGTTTCATACTTTGTGTAATCGATTTATTCTGGTAAACGTGGTGATGTATGCCTGACGAGAAGACGTGTTGTAATCTCCCGAATGCTGCCCAGCCGTGTTGAATCCGTCGATTGAACTCTCGGTCGATGTTGGACTTACCTAGTTGGACTATTTGTTCCAGCTAAACATACTCGTCAACAACTTGGAGCTTAGTGCTCCCAACAATTACTGGCACAAGTGCGACATAGACTTTACACATAATCTTTGTTTTGTCCATGATAATCTTAATACCTTCGATGTTGGGAGGCACTATTGCGGTCATTGATCGTAGAACTTGGGTCCCCAGCGATTCTGTCATATGGACTATATCGTCGGTAAATCGAAGGTGAGTGATGTAGTCACTATTGATATTAATACCGTATCTTTTTTAGTCTAGTAGCTTAAAAATGTCTTCCATGACAGCGGTGAAGAGTTTCGGGGATAAAACTTCACCCTGTCTTACACCTCTCTGCAGTTGGTTACGTTTCATACTCTGGTTCTGTACTCGGATAGCTAACGTAGCCCTACTGTACAAACACAAACACTTCGATATACTATCAACTAGGCACCGCTGAAGGGACTGCAGCACCGCCCGTATTTCGACGGAATCAAAGGCTTTATTATAGTCCACATATGCAAGAAAAAGTCGTAGATTGTACTTTTCTGTTCTGTTCCTTTTTATTATGTAGTCCTCTTTTCTGAAACCGGCTTGTTCGGGAGGCTGGAAGTCATCGAGTTTGCGTGTGAGACGAGTCGTAAGGACTTAAAAACAGCACGTAGACGCGGCTCAGAAGGAAAATCAGTCTGTAGTTTTTCAGGAGAGCGTTGTCACCTTTCTTGAAGAACAAGACCACCGCACTTCTGCTTCACGCCTTCGGAGTATTGACTGCGGTACACTATGATTGCGGTATGATCCTCTTGCATCTATTCCGGAAATTCCTAGACAGCGACGGGAAGTAGAAACAAGGTTGTGAGACGTCCTTAACCACGATCGCAAATAGCCTGCCGACCGTGGCGATCGCGGTGAATCCTCTCTACCGTGGGAGAGGTACATGTCATAAACATGATATTAAACGTGACGTTATTCATTGTGTATGGTTAGCACAACAAATTAATATTTCTCGCCGAAATCATATCAATTCGAAAGTAATAATAAATGCTAAGTTTATTGTAAGCACTCTATACTTGACTACATCTATACTCGATTAAGAATCAAAATGCAGATTAATAGTCATCCCTGAGGACTATAGCAGCGATAGCAGGCGAATTTTAAGGCTAAGTGATAAGCTGATAAGGCTTGTCAACTAAAATAAAATTATGATCTAAAAGCAGTTTTACCACATGCATGCCTTTACAGTTTTTTTTTTATAATTATTATTACAATATTTGGCTCTGTTACACAGTAAAGGTATATGTAGTATCATAAATTTGTATGCTAATAGTTGCGCTGAACATTATAGAAACCGTGTCATGATAGTTGTGTTAGTTCATTTTTAGCACACTTCAAAATAAGAGGTGATTCTCAATTTGACTGTATGTTATATTTACAGTTATGTTATGGTTGTAGTATTAATGGGTCGTCTCAACTGGGGTAGGACTACGCTTTTAGAGAATACCAGCGTAAAATAGCAGCTAAATGCAGCTGTGTTTCGTATGGTGGGTGTGGAAAACCGAAGACCAGAGTGGAAATGATGCATTCCATCTCAGTCCTCAGAGGTAACAACGAATCTGCGTTTTTATTCTTAATAGAGGTTAAATGTAGATGTCTATGGGCTACAGCATCCAGTTATAATCAGGTGGGCTATGTGGTCGCTTGTCACCCTTATTCTATGATAACAAAAATTGACGTCAAAGACAATACAAAGTATTTAAATATTACAAAATTATTGTGACAAAATATCAGTTTTTTAGAATCTACTGGCAACCTTTTAAAATTAAATATGTGGTTACTGTGGAATTACCTAAAGTTAATTATAAACCTTTTTTTCTGTTTAGATATATGATTAAAATTTATGTGCAGAATCAGAGGGAGGATATGTTACATATTATAGCTATATATGTAGGTATTGTTATGGCTGCGTTCATCTTATAATAAAATAGTTGCATTCGAATAAAAGGGCAACGTCTATTCCGCTATACATCGTTTAACTTGTCCCCGTTTGCATATCTAATAATATGGCAGACTGTTTATAAAATATTATTTCGCGTTATCACTGAGTAAAATTTGTTAGTTTGTTGTAAACATTTCTCAGAGCTGCTCTTCTCTCAACATGATCGGAGGAATTATTTTTGCTGTGATACTTACGGGCGCTGTGTACTTTTACAAAAAAGCTTATAAAAGACCCCACAACTTTCCATCTGGTGAGAAGTTTCTTTTTGTATTTACCTATAATTGTATTAATAATTTATTTTGGAAGTGATGTACATCTATGAAACTCTTCTCAAAAAAGCGATTACAATAATTGTTATGTTTTATATGTCTGACTCTTTTCTTTCCTTTTCGTAAAAATAATATATCTTCAATTTTTATTTTAAACATTTTACCATATGGCTTATAGTTTTTAAGACCGACCATCCCGCGGAGTGAGTGCTCTATGCAGGATGTCCTGTTTACCCAACGCTCAGTACGCAGAGCACTCCTCTATCTTGACGTCAACAAGTCGAGTGGGCCGGATGGCGTCCCTCCTATTGTGCTGAAGACGTGTGCTCCGGAGTTGGCACCGGTTTTAACGCGTCTTTTCCGGTACTCGTTCTCCTTTAGCGTAGTCCCGAAATCATGGAAGATAGCCTTCGTGCACCCGATCCTTAAAAAAGGTAACCGCTCTGATCCGTCCAACTATAGACCTATCGCCAACACCTCCTTGTTCTCTAAAATAATGGATGGAATCCATTATTAACAGCCAGCTCATGCGGTACCTTGAGGATCACTAGCTGATTAGTGACCGCCAGGGCGGTTTCGCTCGGCTGATCTTCATAAATGGGCGGAGGCAGTAGAGTCCAAGGGGGAGGCGTTGGCCGTTAGTCTGGACATAGCGAAGGCCTTCGATCGGGTTTGCCACAAAGTGCTTCTTACGAAGCTTTCTTCCTATGTGCTTCCCGAGAAATTGTGCAGTTGGATCACCAGTTTCTTGCAGATTGGAGCATCAAGGTCGTAGTAGACGGTGCATGCTCCGATTACAAGCCCATTAACGCTGGTGTTCCATAAGGCTGCGTGCTATCACCAACGCTGTTTATTCTGCATTACAATGACGTGTTGCGAACCGGTAACATTTATTGCTATGCAGACAACAGCTCTGGTGATGTCTTATACACTGGCCGTGCCAATATTTCTCGGGAAAACGTCGCAGAGTACCGGGACAAACTTGTGTCTGAAGTCGATACTCTATTCCTAAACCACCAGTCTCTGATCGCAGTGCATGCTAAGCCTTAGAAATTATCCATAGTTTGGTTTATTTCTAATATAATTCATATAAAATATAACTAATATTTCAGAAAGAAACATTAATCTCTTTACTTTTTTTAACAAATTAACCCTTCCCTGCTATGAAATCTGTGAAATATTTCACCTCATTCCGTGGC